ATAATTATATATAATTATATAATATAAATTATATATATACATATATATGTGTGTGTATATAAATATAGAGATATATATATAATGTGTATATGAAAGCAGAATTTAAAAGTCAGTACAGGCATTGGTAGACAAAGAAAACCTTTCAAAAGTAGAGCAAAAAACAAAAAATATAGAAAATCAGAAGCAAGGAGGCCCAACACGCAAATAGTTGGAGCACTAGAAAGAGAGAATAGGAAAATACATAGGAAAAGAAATCATCGAGGAAATAATTAGGCTTTTTAACAAAAGGTGTTTGGAAAATTTCATTAAAAAATGAAGTTGGACTCTTATTAACTTAAAATGGATAAAAGACCTAAATCTAAGAGCTTAAACTATAAAACTATTAAAAGAAAACAGAGGGAAAGCTTCATGATATTGAATTTGGCAATGATTTCTTGGATATGACACAAAACACAGGCAATAAAAGAAGATAAATGGATTTCATCAAATTTAAAACTTTAGTGCATCAAAGATCATGATCAACAGAATAAAAAGTCAACCCACTATATGGGAGAAAAATTTGAAAATCATTTATCTGATAAAAATGTATTAATATCTAGAATACATAAAGAACTACAATTTAACAATTAAAATTTTTTAAATGGACAAGGGCCTGAATAGACATTTCTCCAAAGAAGGTATACAAATAGCCATTAAGCACATGAAAAGATGCTCAACATCACCAATCATTAGGGAAATACAAATCAAAACCACTTCATACACTCATTTAGATGATTATTTACTCTCAGTAAAACAAAAAGTTGTACTAGAAATCATAATATATACTATATGTGACTAGACTGTGGTAGCATTTTACATAACTAAATAATAAATACCGAATATTGATCTAACCAATATTATGAAAGTGATATTAGGAAGATGAGGAATAAGAAGTTGTGGGTTTATGTATGTATGTGTGTGTGTATGTGTGTGTGTGCTATTGGTATGGAGGTGATTGTACATCTGAAAGATGAAAATGGAGGTGGAGCCTCATTTTCCACACTGGAAAATCAAAAGTAAAAATAAAAAATCAAGAATCAGCACTACAATGTTGCTATTTAATTCTGTCGAAGGAGAAATTAAAATAAATAAATGAAAAAGTTGAAAGTGTTTGCTTCTGAAGCATGAGAAAAGTTGGGTTGCCTGGGCACTACTTTTTGCCCTAATAAGGTTGTAAAACTGTGACAAAATATTTAAAAATTAAACAAAAAACTTAGAAAAATATCTGAAATATAATTTAGGCCCCTATAAATAAGTGAGTACAAAACAGAAAAGAAATTAAAAATCACTAATACACATAAGAAAATTGTTCAACCTCACTAATAATTTGAGAAATGAAGATGAGATATTTTATTTTTCTATGTAAAAAGCAAAGATTACCTAAAATGAAAATACTCAATACTAGCCACAAAACAGTTAAATAGTGAGAAGTTTAGCAATGTATATTATGAGTGTTAAGAAAGTTAATATCTTTCATTGCAATAATTCTACTTCTAAGGATATATCTTTTTAAAAAATTAAAAATTATATTCATTATAAGTATTGTTTAAACTAGCAAAATATTTTAAATACCAAATGATAAGACAATTAAATAAATTGTTCTACAATTTTAAGTGAAATTAAATGTGAGAATTAAAACATTTATTACTAAAGAATTTTGAGAGATATAAGTAAATGTTCTCAATGTAATGTTAGGAAATGTCCCAAAATATTGGATTGTAGAATCTGGTGACTTATAATTTTTTATGCATTTTCTATGTTTTCTAAAATTTTTCTAATGAATATATGTTATTTTTAAGTTAGCTAAATCAAAAAATAAAGATCCTTGTTTTTATAAAAAAGTATTCTTATATAAAATAGCATCTGGCTAACTGCCCATGACTCACCATTTCCCAATTTGCCACTAAGATATTTGCAAGAAATCCTAAAACTCACTTGTGGAATCAACAAGAATCTGAGAAAAAATTCTCCAATCATATAATACTGGATGTAATAATCAAGGCAAAAATGAATTAAGGTAAGGAGCTTAAAGCAAATAGAAATATTTAGGAGAGCTGGTTCATTATTGATCTGAAATATAGGAAAGAGAGCAGGAGAGGAGGAAAAATTTCAAAATGTCCCAGGAGCATAGGATGAGAGCCTAATGATTAGATTATAATATCCCCAGAATTTCTTATTAGTGGTCGATACTAAAAGGATGTGAGGCTGGCTGGGAATACTTGAATGGATAGAGTGAAGAATTTGGGTTACTAGTTTCCAGTTCTTGAAAACCTAATGGGAAATAGTACTTCAATAATCAGAAGAAAAAATAATTTTATTTTTTAAAGTGTTTTTTTTTTTAATTCCAGTTAACATATAGCGTAGCATTAGTTTCAGGTGAACAGTATAGTGATTCAACACTTCCATACAACACACAGTGTTCATCACAAGTGCACTCCTTAGGGGTTACCCCTATCACCTATTTTACCGATGCCCCCATCAACCTCCCCACCCCACCGTAACCATTAGTTTGTTCTCTATAGAGTCTGTTTCTTGGTTTGCCTGTTTTTTTTTTTTTTTCCCAAAAAATCATCAGGGGTCAAGAGTCAAGATAATTAATGTAGAGTTATATAAATCCAAGAGATTATATGATTTTTTTTTTCTTTCAGCAATCTAGATATAGTTGCAGGAAAAGGGAGATGCTTCACTTAAGTTTCAAGGTTTGTTTGTAAGGTAAATGAAAGCAAAAAGAAACAAGAAAATTGGGAGTTCTGGTGATAATTTGCTGAAGAAATCAAGCAGAGCATCTCAAACAAGTGACAACAGAAGGATCTAAAATATTAAGGAAAAAAATTGTAGGTAAAATAGACAATGTAGTAGAAATAAGAGAACTAGCAGTAAGAATAGGAAGTTGTGCCTACAATTTGGCTATCAGAATTAAAGACTACAGAGATATATTACCAGTTAACATCACATGGGAATAAGATGCATTCCCATTAAAATAAGCAACCAAAAGGAATATCTGCCATTGTTATTATTTAATATTGTTCTGGAAATCCTAAACCATGCACTGAATCATGAAGCAGAAACAAGAGCTACAACTATTCGGAAGGCAGAAATGAGGATATTTTAAATACAGTATTGTATACCAAAAAAACCCCACAAAAGATAATCAACCAAAACTATTTGAATTGAAAACAGAAATTAAAAGAAATTAGTAAAAATAGAGTAGTATAATGAAGTGGTTGGATATAAGAGAAGTATTGAAATATCAATAGCTTTCTCTCATGAGCAGGAGGAATTAGGAAATTTAATGAAGCAATATTAAAATTACAACAAAAAAGATAAATTATCCATGAATAATCTCAATGACAAATACTTCAGATTTATATGAAGACAAACTTGACAGAGAGATCCAAGTATTTGTTAAAATACTTTTTCTTTGGGGCACCTGAGTGGTTCAGTCGTTAAGCATCTACCTTCGGCTCAAGTCATGATCTTGGGGTCCTGGGATGAGCCCCGCATCAGGCTCCTTGCTCAGCAGGAAGTCTGCTTCTCCCTCTCCCACTCCCCTTGCTTGTGTTCCCTTTCTCGCTGTGTCTTTTTCTGTCAAATAAATAAATAAAATCTTAAAAAAAATAAAAAAATACTTTTTCTTTAAAAAAGACCCAACTTACATATAATTGTAAACTAAATCCATTCCTGAGACAGGAATATAGAATGACAGGTGCTCTTTTGAGCAAATGCTAAGTTAAATGAATACTCCATTGATATACCTCTAAAATAGGTAAGCTAAAATGTTCTTTAGTTTATCTAGTTGTTCTTATATGCTTCAAGAGAACTGTAAGTTTATGTGACCTAAAACTATCAATAACACTCTTTCCTATTTAAGATGTTCATATCTAGAATTCCATATCAAAAGAAATCTTTACAGAAATTTTTATTATTAACTGCTGTTGTCATCTTTTTAAACATAACTGCCAGTTATATTCTTACAGTTCCTTTGGAAGGACTAAGAAGTCAAAATCAGTTTGAAGAGATGAGATCAAGCTACATTAGAGAGCTCATCAAGGCAATTGGTTTGAGGCAAAAAGGAGTTGTCTCTAGCTCACAGCGTTTCTACCAACTTACAAAACTTCTTGATAACTTGCATGATGTAAGTATTTTGTTTTCTAGGATATCAGTGATTATTTTCTGAATTTCTATAACTTTTAAATATTAAATCTACATTTTACCTTCTATGGTTTCTTCAAACTCATATTTGTACTTATATTTTAAAACAGTATTTGTATCACACTGCTTAGCACTTATATTGTGCTTTTTTTCATTTTCGATGTAGATCACCCCAATATCCTTTTACTAGTATTTGTATAATTTGAAAGTAATTTAATGGTTTATAGGAATTGTGATAACATTTTCCTGAGTAATGTTCTAAAATATTTTGCCCTAAGTTAGAAAAGATTTTATATATACAGGAAAAGCAAAGGTATGGGTGTGAAAAATAAGACTCATATCATTTTGGTTGGAATTATAAGATAACAACAGTGCTAATGGACAATTTGGCAATTTACTCACTAGGTCAAATTTGAGAAACAGATAGCCAAGGATTGTTAGCCATATAGGTAAAACCTCTATAATGAAAGGCAGAAATCAAATAATCAGAAAAAATGTAATGAAGGAAAAAGCACCAGAGCAGAGAACAGAAAAAAGATTGAAAACAATTAAGATATTCAGAGCAAAAAGAATGATATTGCATCCATGAAACAAAAATAGAAAACATTTGGAAAGGAACATTTAGAAAGAAAATACTTTTGGATAATTAAATATAGAAAAACAAATTTAAAATTTGATAGAAGGGCTGAAATATAAAACTCAGAAAAAATCTCCTTAATCCAAGGAGGTTCATTTCACAATTAAAAAGAATTTCTAAAAGAACAGGGAAAATCAAGGAGAGGAAATTATATAAAAAAATCATAAAATAAAAGTTGCTAGACCAGAAGTATTTTAATTTTCTGACTGTAAAGGCCCGTTGTACAGGCACAGCACAATTGAACAAAGACCCATTATTGTAGAATTTTAGAACACCAGAAATAAAGAGACTATCCTAAAATATACCAATGAGAAAAGAAACAAGTTACATAAAAATGATCAGGATTCAAACTGATGTTGGACTTCTTAACAACAATACTGGAACCCAGAAAACAATGGAGCAATGGCTCCAGAATTTTGGAGAAAAGGAAAATCTTCAAAGAATTTTATACCCATCCAAGCCGTCAAACAAATACGATGGCACCTTAAAAAGTATTTTCAGATGTGTAAGGTCTCAGAGAGCTTACCTCAAATACAACCTTTGTCAAGAACATCTACAGAATGTTTTAACAGTAAAACACTGGACTAAGCCAATGAAGTAGAATATCCAACCCGGGAGAGATGCAAAGGGATGTTCTAGCACATTAACTGTGCTGGACAGTCATTACTCTAGATTGAAGCAGTAATGCACAGGGTTTCAGAATACTAGTAACAGGGAAAAAAGATGGAACGGAGGGATTACCAGTGTGTATGAACATATTGAGGTGAGTTTTTACAATTGTGTCAGAGAATTTGACTATGGTTTTGTGATAAATATAAAGGAAACAAAGCAAAACAGAAACACAAGGTGATTAGCTCTAGCAAACTAAAAATAAGTCCTATATGAAAGGAAATGTAATCCAGCAGGAAACAATAAAAATCTTTATAATTGCTGGATATTGATTTAGTAAAAACTTGATATAGCTAGGGCGCCTGGGTGGCTCAGTTGGTTAAGCGACTGCCTTCGGCTCAGGTCATGATCCTGGAGTCCCGGGATCGAGTCCCGCATCGGGCTCCCTGCTCTGCAGGGAGTCTGCTTCTCCCTCTGACCCTCTTCCCTCTCGTGTTCTCTCTCTCTCATTCTCTCTCTCTCAAATAAATAAATAAAATCTTTAAAAAAAATTGATATAGCTATATAGAGAATGAGAAGAGAAAAATGTGCATAGTTAGGAGGGGTGTCTAGTATAAGAGAGCTAAAACCTCATTTTCCATAATAGAAACTAAATCAATAATATCAAATTTGAAAAACAAAATTTATTAGAAATACAGTGATAAATATTTAAAGATATGGGCTAAAGAATTTGAAAATGGTTGCATCTGGGGAACTAGAATAAGGATGGGAAGAACTCTATTAGAAAACTGCTGAATTTTATTGTTGCTGCTGGGTTCTATTTGACTTTTAAAATTATTTACATTAATTATTTGACAAAAATTAAAATTAGATTAAAATGAATTATGTTGGGTTATTTGTGTTGACAGAGGAAGACTCAATATATTGTTATGTGTAAAAGCCAGTCTATTAACAAAATAGACTTTTATTTATTAAATAATGGCATTTTTGGAATTATATATGCCTTATGTATATTGTGTATAAACCTGGGTATGTTTGTATACATGTATTAAAAGAAAAAAGAAAGACACCAAAATGTTCAGATCAGTTATCCTGTGGGATTATGAATGACTTTCATTTCTTTAAATCTGTACTATCAGAATGTTTCATTGTATGTAATATTTTACATATTATTCTAGAGAATGAAGAGAGTTATTTTGGTAAGAAAACATCTTGATGGGTATTTATATTGTTAGAAAAATAAGCTGTCATGTTTTATTATATGAATATTATTTTTTTACATGTTTTTTATCCATTTGTGAAACCAACAGCTTGTCAAACAGCTTCATCTGTACTGCTTGAATACATTTATCCAGTCCCGGGCACTGAGTGTTGAATTTCCAGAAATGATGTCTGAAGTTATTGCTGCACAGTTACCCAAGATCTTGGCAGGGATGGTGAAACCTCTGCTCTTTCATAAAAAGTGAATGCCATTTTTATCTTTAAAAATTAAATTTTGTGATATGTCTGTTTTTGTTTTGGTCAGGATTATGAGGTCTCGGATTTTTACAATGTTCTTCTCAAAGCCTTACATTTATAACGTATATTGTGTAAATTTCAGAGAAAATTGTGAAGTTATAATTGTTTTCCTTTATAAAGCATAATTAGAATTTTAAGGTGTTTTTGTGTACCTATATATTCTTTAACTGTTTAGAAGATTGAAAAGTACTAAAATTGATTGCCAAAGTAAACTTAATTTTGTCCATACTATTTCCTACCATTTAGGTGAAAATTTTTAACTTTTGCATTGAATGAATCTTCTACTTTAGAGGAAAAAAATCTTACATGTAAAAATAAAAGGTAATTATATATGTTCCTTCTAGGTACCTCCCTTTGTCTCCTTGAATATATTTACAAAAATGAGTCTTTAAAATGGTATGCAAAATTTTGTCTAAATGAGTGTATATACATTTTTTGTGAGGAGAAAATTCATAACCTTCATCAGATTTTCCAAAGGGTTTTTAATGCAAAAAATATAGAGAAAAAGAGCTTAAAATCCCTGAAATAAATTAAGGGTGTGATATTAGGAAAAACAGCTCATATATTGACTATTTCCCAAATTAGAAACACAAATCTCTAAGGAAGTTATTAAGGAGAGCCATATCATTATGACAACAGTATTAGGGGTTTTGTAGTTTTTTACTAACCTTTTTTGGGACTTGTCCTTTAATAAGGTATTGTGAATCCAAATAAGAATCCAGAAGAGTCTGTGGCCTAATGGCACTCCTTACCATCTGGGGCAGGTGGAAAATCACTTAACCTTACTGATTTTCAATTTCCTCACCTTTACTACTGTTATATTTCCTGCAAAATGTTCCTTTTGGTCAGAGCTTCTTATTCACTTTTTAATCAAAAAAGAAAGGGAGGGAGGGAGGGAAGGAGGGTGAAGGAGGAAGGAAGGGAAGAGAAAGTAAGAAATATTATTCTCTGTCTTTACTCAGTGGGGGATAATGACAAATCAGAGGTTGAATGTTTTTGAGTGTCTTGGATCCAATTCTAAGAGAGATATTTCAAGAAATACTAGATACTGTCTTAAAATAATACAACCAATTACAATAACTAGAAAGCACAATTCACACTGTTATATGAACTGAAAATATTGCATTAGAAGATGGACAAGAGTTCTTTTCTGAGATGAGTCACTGGAGATCCATTTGTTTTTAAAAAATCTATATATCTGTATATATAAATGCAGATATATAAAAAATGACAGGAAAAACTAAGTCCATACCACTGACAAAATTCAATCAAAAATAATCACTGTTTTCTATATAAAGTAATTTATACCATTTAAGGCATATATCATATTTTTGTCTTTATTTATTATATATAAGTAAATATATAGAATATTTTTAACAGCTCAGAGTAACTAGTAGACCAAATTCTTTTTCTAAATTTTAAAAAAATTGGACATTATCTTACAAATAAGACATACTGCCTTATGCAAATTAATGGTTGTTAATAAGAAAACCAAAGTAACTTTGAAAACAATATAGAAAACATTTACTGACTTCTTCAGTTTCTTAATACATTTTGGAGTACCCATTCCCTTCAACTGATAAATCTTTGCAGTTTACCAAGGAACAATAACATCTCTTAATGAATACTAATGTAACCCCCAAAACAAGATAAAGTGGTTTCATCTGATCAAAAAATTGGCATGACAATGTTACCATAACTGTTTCTTACCAGTAAATTCCCCATTTACAAAAGGAATAAGCTATGGTGTATCTATAAATAGTGAATTCACATAAGGCATTTGAAATAGGGATTAAAATAAGCTCCATCCAATGCTCTTGGCTTAGGTCCATTAGATCTATGTGGCAAATATAATAAATAATATCCAAATTTTCTAACATTTGGTTATAACATTCAGTAAGAGTTTAAACCAAGTATTTCAAATAGTTTTAACATTAATAAAAAAATAGTCTCTTCCTTGGTAAGTCTAACTACATGTCTTTTTCTGTGAATATAATACCATACCCTACTGCTGTTCAGTTCTTCAAAGTCTTTATACACATACAGATTCATTCTCCTGCCACTCTCCAGTCCGAAGTTAACTTCCTAAAAAAGATCTAATCTTACCATATCCTCACTTTAAAATGTTCATTGACTTCCACTCACCTATTATAGTGATTCTCAGCTATATCTGCACATTAGTGTCTCCAAGTGAGCTTTTTAAAAATACCTTTACCTGGGCTTCATCCTCAGTGATTTTATTTTAATTGCTCCAGTCTTATTCTTGCAGGGACACAATAGTTACTCTGAAATGATGTTCAAGCATCAATTTCTATAACTTTACTCTCTTTATCCTCCACTATCTTGCATTTATCTTATGTTCCAGCCACACAAATCTTTTTACCATCAGTTTTCTGCCTGAATTTTCCCTCTTTGATACCAGTCACATCCATATCTCAATCTTCAAGATTCAGCCAAGCCATTATTTTTGTAATGTTCTTTTCTGCATCTTCCAAATAGTGACTAATTCCTCCTAAGGTTCAACAGCTATTTTGTGCATATCTGAATTATAATAGTGTCTTGTTCTACAATTCTGATAGTATTAAGAGCCTGGGAGCCAGTTTGAGGTAGGACAGTAGTAAAAGTTTTTCTTGAGTGGGAGTTGCATGGCATGGTCTCATTTTTGCTATCACCATGGATCTGTATCATTCTTTTGTTACATCATTCATGTCTGTATGCCTGACTTTATGACGTTGTCTTCCCATACTCCTTATCTACATCTCTTAATTTCTTTTCATCTCTTTTAAAATTTCTACCTCTTCTTACTTTGTGAGACCTCTCCACATACTGACTTTACCATAGGAGAATATGAGCACATTTTATATTTATTAAGAACACTTTATGCTCCCTATTCTAAATTTCAAAACTGAATGGAGTATTATTTCCCTTCCTAAGAAAAAATCCACAAATTCAATTGTTTCTTATAGTTAAGTAGCCCTAACTCAATATACAAGTTTTTTCTCCTTTCCGATTTCATTCACCAAATACTGAATACCTTTTATGAACACAAGTGAATGTGCTAATAAGTGTTATGAGAATTTAGAGCTGAAGGAAGACTGTAACTCAAGAAAGTTACAGTCCAGTAGTAGGCATAAGTCACAATGCCTGGTAAACAGTAGGCACTCAAATACTTGTTGAGTGTACAAATGAAAATACGGTTTGGATTTCATAGGTGCAAAACATTATTTATGTGTAACTTCACTGAGACAAATAATACAGCACAAGGTAAGGTATTAACTTTAAAATAAATATCAAATAACCCCTTAATTTGTGTCAATAATTCAGTTGCATTAAATCTGTATGTACTTCAATATCTTTTTTCCCCAAAAATGTCATCCCAATAAATACATTTTAAATTTCTCCAACATACAATGAAGGCAGTCTACCACTGTAGGGATTATGTAACAAGTAAATGAATGTAGGTGTATCCAAAAAAAGAAAACTTTCACATTCAAGTAATAGAGAACAGTTGATGATATGATCATTTTATCTGGTTCTTGTTACTTTAAGACAATATTTTGATGACAAAAACCCTTTTTTACCTGCACATATTTAATTTCCAACATAATTTATTTATTTTTATTTCATTCAATTGTGGGGGAACAGAATGTGGTGGCCAAAAGGTTTGGGTTTGCTGTTGTGGTTATTGTTGTTTTGCAACCTCCTAATAATAATGTTTGATATTCTTGATGTTGATCTTGATTTACAGTGTAGATGTCTAAATACAAGGATTTAAAATTTCAGGCTAAACTTTAAAAAAATGAAGAAAAGCTTTTGAAAAAGAACATAACATCATCAAATGGAAGATATCTTGTTTCTGAATCTTCCTTTACAAATTCCTGCATACTAATGTCTCCATTCCTGTGCAGTCATCATAACCTTTATCTTCACTTTACAGGTCATGTTCTTTCTGGTAGCTCTAAAATGAAATTAATCATAAGAAGACAGGTTATATATGAGAAAATACTTGAAGGATACCAAACTACATTATTGAGTTAAAAATATGTCCCTAAAAAAGGCTTGAGAAGCCATTTGAGTCTGAACCTAATTGATTCAGTTGTTATGTAGCATTTTTTGTTGTTTTTATTAAAAACATGGCACTTTTTAATTAGGCAGTACTATTATTTTTCATATTTACATTAAAATATTACACAGATTATATGCAAATATGGTAGCAATATGTTTTCTACCAAAACAGTGCCTTTCAAATATCCATGGCATTCAACCTGTAACTTCTAAATTATCCATTACGGTGATATATTTCCTGATGCTTACTGTAGAAGAGCTGACCCAGGCTTATGGCCCTTCTCTGTCATTTACTAATCGAATGAGCTCAAGCAAGTCATTTAACCTTTCAGATTAAACCTGATTTTGCCCAATTGTTTGCAATTAATAGAAATGAAAACAAAAAGTATACAAGTGTTCAGAAATAGTAACTGCTATTATTATGTTCTCATTAAGCCATAGTTCTGGCTATAATTTTATCAAATTAATCCAGCATACTCTATAGTGAAAAGAAGGAATCTAGAAAATATAGTTGCTTTGTTGCTGTCTCTATGCACACACAAATATTTGATGGATTTCATTTGAGATTACTAGAAGTATTCAATTTCTTCATCTGTAAAGATATAATCTTTTGAGTTTGAGCCCTATTTTATCAGAAATCTAAAGAGCCTATCACCTTTCATTATAATATTAAGAATAATGGTACTGATTTTGACATTTGTAAAGTTATCTCTAAAATAGAGAGCTTGACTAGAACACAGACCCTCCAAAAATCTATGCAATATACTACATGCTCAGACTATTTTTATTGTAATAATTTAACAAAAGGGAAGAATGGGTCTAGAAATCATGATGAAATTATCAACCCAAAAAATAACATTCGTATCCTTAAGAAGGTTAGATACAAAATGCCCAGATTAGACCTTCATGTCTGCCTTGATCTGGCATCTTGCATTCCTTTGGTGAGATTGCTATTACATTTCTAGAGGTTTTGCTGTGAATACCTAAGCAATTTCTCTAATCTACGTTTATCCTTTACACAACCAGATTTCAGGAAGAGTATGAATCCTTTCAATATCTTAACAATCTCTGGGGCATCGTGTATAAGTACTTAAAACTTGAAATTTTTTTTCAAATTTAATGATAATTCATTTTTGTATTAAAATATTCAACAATCACGTCTCCACTGATATAGTAAAATGAACAAGCAGACAACCGAAGGAAGAGACTTTTAGATAACCATTAGATGTAGGGAATTCCTTCAACTCTTAAATTTTATAGGAAATACATAGCCAGATAATCTAGCAAAAATTTGCCAAGTTCTAAATTGCTTATTCTCACTAGACTAAGT